CCACTGTTACTGACCACCCCCCACACCCTCTGGCAGTTCTGGTAGAGATAAAACTTTGGGATCCAGGCATGAGATGGACTGGACATGTCCTTGCATTTCTCTGAGCCTCAGTTTCCCAATATGTAACATGAAAGCACTGGAGCAGATGCCCTTAGAACTCTGCCAGTTCTAAGTTCTTAGATCTTAGGAGGTCTTTTCAGGGCAGCTTTGGGATGAGAGGAAGGGGGCAGCTGGTCTCCAGCAGGGAGCAACAGGCCAGGCAGGGGCTGGGGCAGGGGGAGCCCTGCCTTCTGAAGAAGGACATAGCTTAGTCCCCCATCTCTGGGTGTGAGCACCAGGCAGCTGAGCGCAGCTGTCTGCCTCTCTCCCTCTTGGACTGAGTGGATCAGAAGGAGGTGAAATCCTGGCCCTAGGACTAGAGTCTGGATCCTGGCCTCGAAGGCCAGGACTGGATCTTCTGCGGGCTCTCAGATGAGCCAGGCACCTGCCTCTGCTGTGAGCTCACTGGAAAGTGGGTTGCTGGAGAAAAGGAGACCAGGCAGAAGTGATGCTTGAGGATGCAGCTGACCCAAATCCCAGCTCTCAGGCTCCAAATTCCCCAGGATAGTGCAGAGAAGCATTTTCAGCTGGCTCCCTCCCTCCCCTGGTTGGCTGGCTGGGGATTGGGGTGGGGGGTGTTTCTTTTTTTTAACTAATGCTGCATTGCAGGCCTGAGATTTCTGATTATCATGCACTGTCCTCTTTGGAGGGTGCCAGTGGGTGCCAGTAGTGCCAGGGCCTGGCAGGGCAGGGGGAGGAGGGAGGCAGGAGCCACCCTACCTAGCTCCCAGGCACACTGACATGGCTAGGGCTTGGCCACTTCTTCTTTGGACACCCTTTGGAAGAAGGGATTAGGAGGCACCCTCAGAAAACCTCTGGGGTGGGCTGGCAAGGATGTGGTAGTAGTGGGGGCTCTATTCACAAATGAGATAATATTTGTAAGACACTTAACACGGTGCCTGGCGCCTCATAAATGCTTCTTCCCTCCCTTAGCCCCTTTATCCTGTCTCAGGCCCTGGACTGGGCTCCCTTTGGTCCTCATGGGGCTGGAGGGGGCCAGGGCACTGAAGGAGTAGAAGGTGGGCAGCTGCAGAAAGACCAGAGCACCAGCAGGCCCTGCCCCAGTATTGTTCATGAGGTGGCCTGGGGGCTAAAGGACAGACCAGCTCCTCTCTTTGGTATTAGGCACTTTCAACACATTGGCCAAGCTCTGTCTGTGCTTAGAGACCTCTCAAGGGAGCCCCTTCCACACTGGGACAGCTTTCATTTAGAATCATTTTCCTGACACCAGGTCTAAAGCTGCCTCTTAGCACCTTCTCAACGCTCTGGTTCTGTCCTCCCCTAGGAGGTCCTTTGATCCCCCCACATGACAGTCCTTCATACTCCTGATGACAGTTCCCACCCCCATCCCCAGTCTTCTCTTCTCCAAACTAAACATCTCAATTTTTTCAGCTGATTGAGTCAGGGGCATGAATGCAAGGGCCTTCCCTATCCCAGGGGCCTTTCCCTGGGCATCCTCCAGATCACTAGTGCCCTTCCTGAAATGTCCCACCCAGAACTGACCACAGCCATCTAGCTGGTTCTGACCAGGCAGTAGGCAGTGGGACCCCTCATGTATCCAGGCCTGGGTACTACAGCCTAACATTGAATTATCTTTATCAGTGGCCACATCTCATTAGGTTCAACAAATATTTGTAAAGTGTGTCAGATTCTCTGGTAGTTGCTGGGGATGCAATGAAAACCCTGAGGCAGTCAGGGCCTGTCCTCAAGGAGCTTACATTCCACAGTAGCTGTGAGTGCAGGGGAGAGTACAAGTAAAGAGAACACACACAACAGAGCTCTGGCTGTCTGTCTCCCTCCCTCTCTTCCTTCCTCCCTTCTGTCCATCTGTCCTTTCCTTCCTTCCTTCCTTCCTTCCTTCCTTCCTTCCTTCCTTCCTTCCTTCCTTCCTTCCTTCCTTCCTTCCTTCCTTCCTTCCTTCCTTCCTTCCTTCCTTCCTTCCTTCCTCTTGTTAACAGATTGAGGAACTAGTGATGGTCCAGAGAAGGTGATGAAGGTGGTGAAGGACTTTGGAATCATTCTATGAAGGTCTGATGAAGGACCAAGGGATGTTTCACCTGAAGGGGAGAACATGGTGGCTGTACCCAAGCATGTTCTGAATTGGCCCACGGAAGAGGAAAGTTCCAAAGAGGCAGATTTAGGGGTGAGAAGGACCTCTGAGGAGCTGGGGTGTCTAAGAGGGAATGGGTGCTCTTGAGTGGTAGTGAGCAGCACCGCCTGGAGACCTCCAGGCAGACGCTGCATGCCTACTTTTCAAGGAAGGTAGAGAGGCATCCAAGGTGCCCTCCAGCTCAGAGCTTCTGTGAGTGGTTACAACCCAAGACCTAGCACAGTCACATTGGGCCCAGGTGGCTCAGCCCCGAGTCTGCACAGGGATCTCAGTTCATGGAGCCCACTCCAGTGTGTGCCACACCCCTTGAGCCCTTTGGCAGCTGCCCCTGAGGCATGGCTGAGGTTTCCTTAATTGAGACCAGCTGCTTCCCTTTGAAGGCCTAGCTCCTGAAATATTGATGGGCCCCAGGCTCACGTGATGATCACTGAGCACTTCAGAGAAAGCCTCCGGAAGCTTCTCAGAGCAGGGAGGGAGCAGCTGCAGCTGTGGAGGGGCTAGGGCTGTCAGGAGGAGCAGGTGCAGTCACTAGGGGCCAGATAGACCCCTGGTGGCAGTGGTTGGGGAGGAGAGACCAGCACCTTGGGTAAGCCTGTCCCCTCACTTGAGTGACACCAGGTCTGTGTTTATGAATCACCTACTATGTGCCCAGCACCATGCTAGGCACTGGGGATACAAAAAGAGGCAAAGACAGACCCTGCCTTCAAGGAGCTCATGATCTAATGGCAAATGAGTGGCCCTCTTCCTGCTCTGTGCCTGTTCCTTCAACCTAGCTCCCCACTCAAGCCACCTTTGAGAAACAAAGACCTGGAAGAACACTTGTCTAGTGACCAGTTTGGCTCAGAGGCATGAGCTCATCAGGGCTGGACTGAGGGGCACGAGGGATACCAAGGGATGCAGAAGCACAGTAGGAAGGGCCCTGGGCCCTAGGAGAGGCAAAGAGGTGAGGCTTAGCCTTTCCAGGGGCTCTTGCTGAGGTTCCAGGAGGCTGGAGAGTACCCAGCCTACCAAGGCTGAGGAGGGGGCCCCCCTTCTCAGGAGCCCTGCGGCTGGCGCTCTGAGATCTTTCTGCCTCCCTGCATTCCCTCATCCCATAGAGGCCACTACAGGCATCAGGGGATGGAGTTTTGTTTGTATGGCTCTGGCCCTGGCTTTTCTGTGCAGGGAGCATCACTAACACCTGGGCTTCTCTGTCCAGTCTGGCTGGGGCTCTCCTGAGCAGGGCCCGGGCTGGGCTGCCCCCTGGTGGCCCCAATGCAGCCTAGGCAGCTAGCCCAGTGAGAAGGGAGACAGGTAAATGCCCTGACCCTGTAGCGGTCCCAGCCTTGGCATAAACATCTCATGGGCCCCTGGCCACCAAGGAAAGGCTCCTACAAACATTCTTTTGTTGGTAAATGACCTGAGTTAGAAATCAAAGTTTAAGGGTGGGTTACAGTCACCATGGTGGGAAAAGGCAGAAGAAAGCAAGCATCCATTATGCACCTAATGCATGCCTGGCACTGGGCTAAGTGCTTCACAAATATGACCTCCTTTGATCTCCCCTCCTTTGAGGGAGGGGCTATTACCGCCATTTCACAGTTGAGGAAACTGAGGCCGAGTGAATTGAAAATGCTTGCCCAGAGTCACCCAGACTAGAAAGTCTGAGGCTAGAGGGGAGACAGAGGGAAGAGTTGAACACCAAGGACTCAAACATGGAAGGCCCCTTTGGCTACCCCCAGTAGATGAGGAGTAAAGGCTTGGACTTGCTGATCTCGAGGTGCTGGTGGCACACGCAGAGGAGTTATGAGCAGGCAGCTGGAGATGAGGATCCAGAGCTTGGGAGAGAGGCCCAGGCTCTGTCAGGGGATGGGGGAGGGGGTCCTCTGCCTCAGGGGAGCAAGTTTCTGAGGAGAGAACATATGGAGGATGAAGGAAAGGAGTGATTGCCTGACAAACCCTGGGGACACCTGATCATGCACATGGGAGAAGGAGGAGGAGGAACAAGAGGGGGGAGAGGGGAGGGAGAGGAGGAGGGAGAAGAGAAGGGGGAGGAGAAGGACGAGGGGGAAGGAGGAGGGAGAAGAGAAGGGGGAGGGGAAGGAAGAAAGGGAACAAGGGGGGGAGGGGAAGGAAGAGGGGGAGGGAGAGGAGGAAGGGGAAGAGAAGTTGGAGGGGAAGGAAGAGGGGGAGGGAGAGGAGGAGGGGGGGAAGAGAAGGGGGAGGAGAAGAAAGAGGGGGAAACAAGAGGAGGAGGGGGAAGGGGAACCATTCAAGGAGATGGAGGAGCTCAGAGAGGGAGCCAGAATGGTGCCTACCTGGAAGGCGGGGAAAGAGAGGGAGTCCAGGACAGGGACTTGATGAGCTGGGGTCTCCTTTGCTCCTCTGCTTCCTGCCTCATTGGCCTCCCTCTCTTGACTAGCCCCAGTTGATCGAGTCTAGGGCTTGTTTGTACCATGTTATTATCTTCCCCCCCCCACCCCCACTAGACTGTGAGCTCCTTGGCTAGCATTTGTCTTTGTATCTCTAGAGCTTAAGACAGTGCCTTCCTAGCACACAGTAGGTACTTTAATTACCAGTTGACTCGACCTGAGGAAAGAAAGAAAGTAGGGCTGGTGGAAGCAGCAATGAGGGAGGCCAGCAGGAGTTACAGCTCAGATTCTTGGACTGACTGCCCATTCCTGCCCACATCTGCCCCTTTTGACTTCCAACTGCATCACACATGACTGTGGTGGACCCTGGAAGCCACTGAGCTGCCTTGGTTGGGTGGTGCCATCTTGGGCTTCCAATTCCTCCAGCACAGCCTGGCTCTTACCTTCATCAGCACTGACTCACTGAGCTTCTCTCGGTTGACAATTTTAATCGCGACCTTTTGGCATGTGACACAGTGAACCCCCAACTTCACAAGCCCTGTGGAGGAGAGAAGAGAGGGCATGGGTTAAATGTCCCCAGACCTTGTGAGAACCCCTTCTCTGTACTGTTTGGCAGCACTCCTCACCCCATCCCCATGAGATCATAGATCTCAGATTGGGCTGGAAGGGCCCTCAGAGGAGGAAACTGAGGCCAGGGAGGGGGTGCTCAAGGCCACAGATGGAATAGCCAGAAGATCTGGACCTTGGACCCAAGCACCCTTGTGCTGTCTTAGGACAGGTTGCTCCTAATAGGAGTCACAATGATGAACTGATAGAGAGAATGGGGCCTGCATGTCAGGAGACCTGAGTTTGAGTGCTGCCTCAGACATGAACTAGCCGTGTGAACTTGAGCAAGTCACTTCTCTGTGTGACCATCTGTCTCCTCATTTGTCAAGTAAAGATCACAGAATGGTGGTAAGGAAAGTGGCTCAGAAAAAATCCCAGTGTCCAGAAATGGGAGTAACCACAGTTATTGTCATTATTGTCTTCATTGTTATCAGAAGCAGCATTGTCATGGGTGTTCCATCCTCCTCTGACCCCCAGTCTTTCCTTCTCTAGACAAACATGCCCAGTTTCTCACATTGAGACTCCTAAGGCCTGGTCTCGGCATCCTTTGCTATCTTGGCTGCTCCCTGTTAGCCAGAGTTTCTCCCTTGGATTAACATGGTACCCAGAACTGGGCCTTCCCTCTGGCCACCAGCTTCTTCCCCACCCCTCCACCCTCTTCTACCTCTTCTGAAAACTGCCATCAAATCACCACCACCTTTGTCTTCTGAAATGGTGTTACTGGGCTGCTCTGTCATTACCCTCCTGAACACTGGGGCTTGGGACTTCCCAGACCAGGCCACCATTCTCCAGTATGTGCTGGCTGCAAAAATAGACTAGAAGCTCCTTGCACTCAGATGGGCTTTGCTTTAATATTCACACCCTCAGCTCTTAGAATAATGCTCAGTAAATGCCTTCCCTCCCTCCTTTCCATCTTCCCTCCCTCCCTTCTTTCCTTCCTCCCTCTTTCCCTTCCTCCCTCCCTCCCTCTTTTCCCCCCTTTCTCCCTTCCTCCCTCCCTCCTTCCTTCCTTCCTCTCTCTCTCCCTCTTTCCCTTCCTTCCTCTTTCCTTTCCTTCCTCTTTCCTTTCCTTCCTCCCTCTTTCCCTTCCTTCCTTCCTCCTTTCCTTTTTTTTTTTTTTTGCTTTGGCACACAAGAGATGCTAAATAAATGTTTGTCCGATTGATTGACTTCCACCTTACACTACTGACTCATATTAAGCTTGTGGTCCACTCCTCCCTCCTCCAATTTCATAGAGAAGACAACTCTTTGTAGAAGCTCCTGAGATTCTCAATCTGACCAGGCAGGAAGTGTTGGGATCAAGAAAGGGAAGGGAGGCAGAGGTGGGGGTTGGGAAAGGAAGAACAACATGAGTCGGGCCTCACTGGCAGAGAGCATTTGTTTGGGTCTCACCAGTGAGCGTGAGAGAGGGTGGAGAGGGAAGAGCCAGAGTGCAGGAAACATGCAGCCCCAGCCCCCAGCTCTCCCTGGGAAGAACGCTCTGGCTCCTGCTGCAGACAGCCGGATCCCTGGGGCCAGCTCCCCAGCTGCCTTTGATCTTGATGCAGGAGCCCTGTGATTTCAGGTCAGAGAAACAGCAAAGAGCAGAAAAGAGGGGGCCAAGGGGAAGTGGAGGGGGTGAGGCAGGGGACATCTTTTCATTTATAATTCAAAGAGCCCACTAGATGAGAGGCAGAGGTCAGTGCTCAGCTCTAAGGACTCACTCCCTGTAAGAAGGTCTGAGCTGGGGCTGCTGGGAGGGCCCTGGGAATTTAGGCCAGCTGCTCAGTGCCTGGGGAGGAGCTCTTACCAACCACCTGCTGGAGGCCAATGGGGCCAGGGCACCTGGAGCTGGCCTCTGTGCTTCTGTGGGGAAGGGGAGGGGGCACACCTTCAGCCAGCCCAACTCCTCCCTGCCAAGCTTTCTAGGGCACCAATGCCTGAGAGGCAACCCACCCTGCCTCCTCCAGCCCTCTGTGGTCACAGACAGCACCCGAGATCAGCAATGAGCTGGTCCCAGCTCTTTGGGCTGGGAATCTTCTTGACTGAATTGTAAGCCCTCAGAGAGTAGAGGCTCTGTCTTCTTCTCCAGACTCCCTGTAACACCTGGGCCAGGGCTGGGGGGGGGGCAGTAAGGGCTATAAATAGACAGACATCCTGCAATTTCCTCTGGTTCCTTTTTGCATGATGTGAAGGAAGGGGCAGCAGTCCCCCATCTGCCTCTTATTTCCTGTGTGATCTTAGGTAAGCTCCTTCCTCAATCTCATCCTCAGTTTTCCCATCTGTAAAAGGAGGAGAATGAAGGTTTCTTCCAGCTATGTTTCTATGATTGAGCTGGAGACTGGATGGCTGCTGGCTCATTCCCAGGAGCACCTGACAAGTCCAGTTTGGGGCTGGGCACTTGCAGGTAGAAGGCTTGGATAATATCAACTCTGATGGGACAGAGAAAGAGAACAGGCATGTTGCCCCCATGGACTAGATTGATTTGGGGGCTTCATGTCCTGAAATGTTGCTGATCAAGCCAAGACCAAAGGGAAAAGAATCTTCAACATTCCTTATCTGATGAAGAAATAACTTGGTCAGGGTGATGGGACGGGCCTGGTCACCTAAAAATACCAAAAGGTTTTCACGGGGAAGAGGGAGGGGACTTGCTTGACTGATCTCGGAGAAGAAAACTAAAAGTCTCCCCTCATCTCTGTTCACCTCCTCCAGAGTCTCCTTGCCAACTACCATTGCCTGGCAACCCAAAGCCGAGACAATACCCTGAAGGAGCCCACTATCCTACTTTAGAAAAGCCCCCGAAGACTTCAGTTCACCTCCTCCTCCACCTGGCCACCTTCTCCCTCCACCTGCCAACTCCAGTTCTGGAACAATAAACCAAATCAAATCAACTCTGCCATTGTTCATGGATGGGATGTGTCAATCTACTCCTCTGTGGCCCCACTCCACTATCCCAGTAAACAGACAGTGACTTCTCTAGTTTTGAGTTTTTATGATAATTATCCCTTTCCCTCCCCGAACCAAAGAACTCCAAGTCCCCATTCCCCCCCATCCCCAGCCATTTGGAATAAAAGAAGAAAGAAAGAATTTTTACTCTGAGGCAGATCCCTGAATGTTCTCGAATGGTGGTTAATTTATGCTGTATCAATAGAAAATGTGCCTGTACCCTCAATATGTGCACTATGATTTATTTATGAAAATTGCGGACATTAACTAGTTACTAACAGTTGTATACATTAGAAAACTTGTACAAAATAGAACATAGAGAGGATGAGTTAGTGATGACATAAAGTTTGATTCTAGAGTGAATAGGGAACCAGTGTAGTTTAATGAGCAGGGGAGGGATGTGGCCCAATCTGCTTTAGGACTACCAAGAGAAGAAGGGGCAAAGACTTGAGGCAGGGAGACCAATGAGGAGGTGGTGGCTGGGTGAATAAAGAGAAGGGATGGCTATGTGAACATAGAAATGAGTATACCTGGTCACTGAATGGACATCACATGGGGGTGGGTAAAGGACAAGGAAGAGCTGAGGATGACCCAGAGGGTGTGAACCTGAGCAATCAGAAGACAGGGCTTTCTTAGTAGAAACGGGAAAGTTGGTGAGAGAAAAGTGTGTGAGGAGGGGAGAGAATGTAATGAGACGCAAAGTGAAGACCCAACCCATCTATGTCTATTCATCCTGGGAGATGCCCTTCCCCTGCCCCACCAATGACGATCACCTTCAGGGCAAATATCTGTTCAGCATTCAAGGTCCTTCATGACTTGACCCCCTCCTACCCTTCAAGGCTTCTCACACCTCACACCACTGTCCCCTCCCTCCTTCCCCGTACCCCCACACTGGCTTTGCTGCTGCTCCTTAATCAAGATCCTTCATCTCCTGCCTCCAGACACTTTCTCTACCCCTATCCCCCACCTGGAATATGCTCATATTCTCTCTCTCTCTCTCTCTCTCTCTCTCTCTCTCTCTCTCTCTCTCTCTCTCTCTCTCTCTCTCTCCCCCTCCCTCCCTCCCTCCCTCTCTCTTCCTCTCTCCCTCTTCCTCTCTCTCTCCCTCCCTCCCTCTCTCTCTCTCTCTCCCTCTTCCTCTCTCTCTCCATCCCTCTTCGTTCTGTCTCTTTTTATCTTCTCTCTCTCCCCCCTGTCCCTCTTCTTTCCATCTCTTTATCCTCTCTCTCTCTCTCTCTTTCCCTCTCTCCATCCTTCTTCTTTCTGTCTCTTTTTATCTTCTCTCTCTCTCTCTCTCTCCCCTCCCTCCCTCCCTCCCTCTCTCTTCCTCTCTCCCTCTTCCTCTCTCTCTCCCTCCCTCCCTCTCTCTCTCTCTCCCTCTTCCTCTCTCTCTCCATCCCTCTTCGTTCTGTCTCTTTTTATCTTCTCTCTCTCTCCCCCCTGTCCCTCTTCTTTCCATCTCTTTATCCTCTCTCTCTCTCTCTTTCCCTCTCTCCATCCTTCTTCTTTCTGTCTCTTTTTATCTTCTCTCTCTCTTCCTCTCTCTCCCCCTCTCCTCTCTCCCTCTCTCTCTTTCTCTCTCTCCCTCTCCCTCTCCCCTCCACCTCCAGGCTTCCTTTAAGTTCCAGCTAAAATCCCACCTTCTACGAGAAGTCCTCCAATTTATAGTACTTACATGTTGTCCTCTCCATTAGACTATGAGCTCTTTGAGACTAAGGAGTGTGAATTTTGTATTTTCCTTTCACTGTATCCTCAGCATTTGTCACAATGCCTGGAACATGTTGGTGTTGAGTCAGTCACAGTCATGTCTGATTCTTCATGACCCTGTTTGGGGTTTTCTTGGCAGAGATACTGGAGCAGTTTAACAGTTCCTTCTCTAGCCCATTTTACAAATGAGGAGCTGAGGCAAACAGGGTTAAATGACTTGCCCAGAGTCACACAGCTTGTACGTGTCTGAGGCCAAATTTGAACTCATGTCTTCCTGACTCCAGGCCTAGCACTCTGTGC